GACTTTTTCTTGCTCATGTCGGGCATATCCATACGTACAATTTTACACTGAATGTACCCATGTGTTTTGATTCATTTCTTATTGCGGTGGCTGGACTGAGGTTTTATGGTGGCAACTTGGCTCTACACCATGAGTTCGATGTCGGCACCATCATCACTGGAACAGGCTGGGTGCATTCTGCTGACCTCACAGGTGTCGATACCTTTCACTGTCAATCCTGAGGCTTCAATTCACTCGTGCGCAATTCAATCTGCATGACTTTGCCACAGATTCATAGTAAATGCCCGACTTGATCAAAAGTGGGGACCGAGTGCACCTGCTATTTGCAAAGTACTTTGCTTTGTGGGCTCCGCAATGCATGTCACAGTCACAGTCCCAGATATCCTAACGCCATGCACTAAGACCTTGCAGGTATCCCAGAGACTGTACATCTCTGCACGTTTGTGCATATCTATCTATTTTATCCACATTTATCCTTATTAGCAAGGTGAGAAGGCCTTGAAGTGAATAGCAGTGGCTTCTTGTTGTCGTTCTGATTGTTTTTCTATGTATGTGAGCAGTTGATTGGGAACACTTAACTAATCTCTGTTTCCTGCAAATTATTTCTGCAGTCCCTGTTGTCTCCAGTACCTTTTGACCTTGAGATATTCTTCTGAAGCCTTTAGTCAAGCCATTTGGTGTTGTTTGTTGATTCTTGTTGATTCTTGTTGGTTCTTGTTGCCAATTTTCCACTTGGGTTCGCCCCGGAAAACGGACCCCACCAAGTGTCAAATTTCCTTCCAAAAACTCAGGAAAAAACTATTTTTCGGGCGACTTGGTGGGGTCCATTTTATACACTTTGAAGGGACCAAGCAAAGTGGCAAATTGCCAGTTCTTGTTGATTCTTGAGAAGTTCTCAACATTTGCGACACATTTCCAACAAGGACCGTTTGACGGTTTGGCCGCATGAGATTTTGGGCTAGGCTCAGCAGCGCCTTCACGAGTTTGAATGAAAACATCAATCAACCGGTGAAGGCTGTGAGCCCTGCTGGCTCAGTTTGCTCCACGCATCCAGGTTCACAGTTCACATGTTTTGTCAAAGGTTTACTCTATTTTAGTCTGTTCAGTGATAGATATATATATAATCATTAACATTAATTAACAATATGTAACATAGGTATTGCAATATCACATATGATCAGATATTGTCACATAATGTCATTTTGTTGCGCGAGGTTGGTGCTTGTTTGGATACAGTTGGTTGATTCAGTGCGTTCAGTGGCATCCAAGAAAACCTCCCAGGCTGATCCATACGCAGTGACTAGTGGAATGCAAATGGATAGTGCATGCGTTTGCACATGGCCTCCCAGTGCCAAGTGACCAAGTGACCAAGTGCCGACAAAAACACCGTGGTGATCCATGGTGCAAGAAAACAATGAACTATACAGCATACCCAAGGTCCGGAGCTTTCAATTCCAAGAACTCAGGGACCAAAATGGACCAAACATGGGCCACTTTGGTTCACCTGGTCACCTGGTTACCTGTTAGGTCCCCAATCTACACCGCTGCAAAGTGATGCCAGGCGCTGGGCAGCGCGTGTTTGAACTCTTGGATTTGAAGCCCGACATCCAAGAGGCGCTGCAGTCACCGCAGTTGTCATGGCTGAACTGGTTGAACTGGTTGAACTTGGATCCATTGGACCAAGCTGTAGGTGTGATACTATGTGATCTATGTGTGCGATGTATTGTTTAATATTGACATGATATTTAGTTTCTCCATTGCAGCTGTAACATACTGCGTATTAGGTCCATATCATTCCTTCAACTAGGTTTGATAAACTTGTATCTCGTGCTTTGCTTTGGCTCAAGAAAAAGGGCTCTACTAAGCTGAAACCTTGAAAACTAGGTTATCAGCCGTAGTTGCTCTGGGTTTTGTCTCGGCTCGTCTCTGTCTGTTCGCTCGTTTGGTTTGTCTTTGTCCTTCGTTGCCTTTTCGTCTCGCCATTGGGGTGTGCTCCCATTGTTGCTGTCTGGCACTTGGTGGCGGATCTTTTGCACTTGCTCCTTGGCTGCCGGTGACCTGCGCTTGCGCGGACCGGACAGAGTGTCTTGGGTTAAGCGTAAGGGATTTGGATGTCAGATACCCCTCCAAAGGAGCCTCCTGTGAAAGAACCTGAGCCAAAACTCAAGTTTCGTGGTGAAAGGCGGGGTACGAGGGTAAATAGGCAAAGAGAACTTCAAGCTCAGTTTTTGGAAGGTAAGTTCATTCCAAAGAGGTTCAAGAATCCATTCGTACCTCCAAAAGGGGCCGGTCGTGTCATTGGGTAGACTTTGAAGCAGGGGCTGTTCCATCTTCTGTTCCTGTACCGGGTCCACCACCACCAAAGGCATCTGGTCCTAGTTCGAGTTCTGCGGGTCCTAGGGTGACAACATCAGTGGCTTCAGTCCCAATTGCCAAGGCGAAGGGGCCTGTAATCACTGTTTCTTCTGTTGGAATCCCAAAGCCTGGAACCTCACGTGTCCCAACGGTTTTTGATCAAGGGGGAATTCCACCTTGGGCATCGGTGGAAAGTAGTGCTCCGGTGGTTGCTCCCAAAACACCCCCGAAAGGGAAGTCGTTCTTTCAACCACCTCCGCCTCCTCCACCAAAGGTTGTTGCGAAGGAGGTTGAATCCCCAAAGGTTGCTTCAAGTGGTTCGGATCCAAAGGGTTCTTCCAGTTCAGTGGTATCTACTAGGGTTGCTCCTGTTGTCGAAGCTGAGTCTGCAAAGATCACTCCAGCTGCTGGATCTAGTGTTTCTATTTCAGGACTCCCATACAAGGCCGCACCTGTAGAGCTCCGTAACGAAAAGGCGAAAGGTGAGGCGGTAGTTGCCAAGAGTTTACTTGGAAGTGCTTCGGTTCCGAAATACCAAGTGGCCCCTGTACCAGATCGGTTTCCCCCATCAAATCCATTGCCTTCGGGATTGGCACCAGCTGTTGCTTCTCGTCCCCTTGAAGTTCGTGTGTCGCTGGACTATCATAACACATTGTGAAGTGGCCGGGGCTAGCACATACGACGGGATTCGAACATCGGCGGCTAACGCCATTGCATCCTTTTTGGCAAGGTCTCCAAACCATCAAGTGGGAATCTGTTCCTATATCGGTTGGGGTGGTAGGAATTCTGGTCAAAAACGAAGAGAGTTGGAAGCTGCTGTGACCTATCTTAATCGACAGTTGCAGAACAGAGGAATTCCTTTGAACCAGCTTTGTCATTTGTTCATCACTTCCGATCAGAACAAGCATCCGGTAAATTCAGATTCTTGTCATTTGCGCTGCGACGACAAGTGGAGTGTCATCCAAGCGGTGCAGGGACGTGGGGTGGTAGGAGTTCACTTCCATCGCCAGGGACAGTTTCAGGACATCGATCAGGTGTTGAGGCACGCGTCTTCTCAGTTGGTGCCACGTGCGTTCACTGCTGGGTTCTGGGGCGTACCTCATCATTCGTACGATTGAACCTTGATTGCACCTTCGAGCGACAATGCAGTCAGGAACTTCGAGCTCACTTAATTTGTCAAGCTCTTCTAGTGGTAATCAACAGATGGTTGTCAGAGGAAACCCGGGTTTTGCCCATGAAATTGCAGATAGCTCACGATCATCTTCTGTGAGGTCTGTTCTAAGGTCCCAAATCAAACCCTCAAAGGAACGGCCCAGCTCTGCGCTTGCGCGGTCGGCCAGTAGAACTAGGGTTGGTAATCCTATTGGGGAATCTGTTGGGGATGATGAAATGGACTTTCAAGATCAGGGAACCAGTTCTGTGAGTTATCAACAAGTCAATCAAGTTTGGGTTTCTCAATCTCCTGACCCTGAATTGGTGAATCAAGCTGCTGGTGCTGTGTTTACAAGCTCAGACTGAGGCACATCATGCTCAAACTGAGGCATACCAAACACGTACTGAGGCAGAACGTGTTATTCGGGAAACTCAGGTGAGTGCAGAAATGCACGTCCAGCAGTTAGAGAACCAAACAACTAGGAGAGCCTTGGAGGAAGCTCAATCTAGAGCCACTAAGGAAGTTACTCAGGCCCAATCTCAAGCTTCGCAAGAGATCGCAGCTGTGAAGCTGAGTGCCTCGCAAGCTATCTACAACCAGGATCAGATGCTGAGATTAGAGTTCGGGCCAGGGAAGAGTCGCGTCTAAAACAGGTTCAAGATTTGAGTAGACAACTAGCTGAGAGTCAAAACCAATTTGCTAGAGACCAAACGAGACTAAATGGTACGGATTTGGAACAAAAGGTCGATCAACTTGTTGAGAGGATGTCTACTTTTGAAGTCATGCTGAACGACATGAACAAACGGTTGATTGCACTTGAGACTTGGGAAGACGAGCCCGTAGAGATAGATGATTTTGACCCAGAAGAGGAATTGATTCCGGTTGTTCGTTCTCCCCCAAAAGTCCAATCCCGAAAAGGGCCACGGTTCAAAGGGTTGCCCCGAATGATGACGATGATGATGATGGTGACATCCAGGCAAACGTGAATCTTGAGGATACATGTCTTAGGTGGAAAGACGTAACTAGTGTGCGTATGCCCCCTTTACTTGACAGTGCGGGAGGTTTTCGTTCATGGAAGAACGCTTTCTTACCCTTGTTGACTGCCTTGGATAGTTCAGATGAGTATCATCTTTATCAGTGGTTACTTCAAGCTTTCAACGCCCGAACCCCCCAAGAAACTACCTTGTTGCAACAAGACAGTGGTGGATTCCCCAGGTTCGATAGAGTCCTCAAAGGTTACTTCGGAACCAGGATCCAGGCATTTATCGAGGAGAGCATTGCGCGTGGTATGACTCTGCGTGGTCGACCTTTGCTCAACTTGGTGGTCAGGGAATTCGATCTTGACGCAGCGTTGGGGGGGATGGTTTCGGCGGTTGAATTGTTTCAAATACCCTCACCTGATTCTGATATTCAATCACTCATCCACTTCCGTGACAAAGTTCGGTATATTTTGGGTCAATTACCTCTTGGGGAACGTCCAAATGACAGTATGATGTCCAAGTGGTTGTTTGAAAGGTTGAAGAAGGTGAGACAACTTCAGTTGACCATTGATAGGATTCGGGAATCAGCAGCCGGTTCAGATGAACGTACTTATGACTATTTGTGGAACCGTTTGGAACGAATCATTGCCGAGTCACAGCATGAAAAGAATCTCTCGTCAATTCAAGAAGGGTTGAAGAAAGGTCCCAAGAAGTTGGCAACCCCTGGGAATCCCTCTGACTCAAAGAACACCAAAGGTAAGAAGGGTAAAGGAGCCGATGGTAAATCCAAAGGCAAAGGCAAGGATTCCAAAGGTCAGGGAAAGTCGAAGTCTAGTGGATCAGGTCAGGGAGGTTCAGGTTCCAATGACACCAAGAACTCAAATGGAAAGGGTAAGTCTGACAATCAGGCTGGTCAGAACACTGCTAAGAAGGATGGAGTATGCTTGTTCTACCCCAAGGGTTTGTGCAGGCGAGGTGAGAACAGTCCGTACCGGCATGAAGGTTCCCCCTCGGCTCCTTCCTCTTCTTTAGGTGGTCAGCCGCCCAACCCAAAGGCTAAGGCGGCACCGGCTGCGCCCAAGGCGTCAGTCGCAACGGCTGCGGTCGCAATTGTGACTGCCAGTCAGGTGCTTGGCACTGCTGCGAGTATCCGGAGCTCGCAGTATCAAGGAGGCTCATTTGCACTTGAGTGGGCCTTGGATTCCGGTGCAGGGGAGGACCTGTCTTCGGTTGGCGCGTTTGCTAATCAGGGAGTCCCACAAGATTGGGTAGAGGGTTTTTCTACAGTGTCAAGTTCTCCATTGACGTTTGAAACAGGAGGTGGTGCCCAAGCTTCCACCAATACTGTTGGATTTGTTGGGGATAAGGCAGGCGAAGGCATGGTTTACTTGCTCAAGAACTGTCCTTACGTTCGCAGTTTGGGAAAGTTGATTCAAAAGGGTTACTCATTCTTTTGGGGACCTGAACACGAACCCACACTCGTTCCCCCTGATGTTCCATTCAATGTGTCATGTGAGACTTCCGATGCTTTACTGCTGACAGGGTTGAACACTGTGTTCCCATCTTCAAAGAAACAATTTCATTTACCTATGGGATGCCAGCGGAAACTGTTGAGGCTTCTCCCGTCGACCCGCGCTTGCGCGAAGACGGAACCGAAGACCAGCGCTTGCGCGGATCGGATCCCATTTTGGTTGAAGACGTTGCGGAGGAAGCCCCCTCGCTTGACGAAATGCGTAAAGAAATGTAAAGAACTAGAAGATTTTGCTGCAATGAGTTATGTTTCACCAGGGCCCCAAGAGACTAGCTCAGTTGATCCCAAGGATCTCCCAGCTTCTGTTCCCCCTCCGGATGAACCCGATGTTGAACCCAAGGTTTTAACTTCGTATGCCAAATTACCAGTTGACCATTTACTGACCCATCAACCTGCTTCCAAGTTTTGTGATGTTTGTAGGCAAGCCAAGTTGCGAGCCCGCGCTCACAAACGTTTTGGGAATCAACCTGAATCTACCCGTGAAGCCCGAGTGATTGAATCTCCCACTGAATTCCTTCAGCGTATTTGTGTGGACCATATGGAATCAACAGAAGAGAGCCTTTCAGGGGATTCTTATGCCCTTATTTGTGTAGACAAGTTTAGTGGAGTTATAGGTGCATACCCAGCCAAGTCAAAGGGACAGGCCGCAGTTGAGCAGGGTTTGCGTCATTTTTGCCGAGAGAAACTGCCAGTGGTCGAGTCCGACCGCTATCAGAGCATCTTAGCCGCGGTTCGAGACTTGAAGATGCATTCGGACCCTTCTCCACCAAACGATCCAATACACAATTCCCATGTAGAGTCTGCAATCAATATTGTTAGGCAGGGAACTAGGTCTCTTTTGCTTCAGAGTGGTCTTCATGTTGGCCATTGGCCGTCTGGTATGCGCTGTTTTGGATACCAATACAATATCACTACCCCTCCAATGATTGACAGTGATTCCATGCGTCATGCTGCACATCAATATCATCATGCGTTGCCCGAAGGAGAGGGGGGTCCCATAGCACCAATGCCCCAGTATGAGAGTAAGCTTCATATGGCCTTACAGTACCAACCTGAACCTAGAGCAATTCCTTATGGAGCCTTGGTTTGGTATCTTGGTAAGTCGCGCGAACCCACCGCGCCGAAGACTTTTGGTCCCAATGGGCGGCCAGCTCTCTACATTGGTCCGGAGATCCTTCCAGGGTTACGTTGCAAAGACATACATGTGCTGCTTGATTTGCAAGAGTTGACATCACACGACCATGTTCGGGAGATACGCACCAGAGATTTTGTACCTCCAGCTGGTCCCTGGGCATTTCCCTTTTCCAAAATTCCCATGTTGCAATCATTACACGTTCAACCCAAAATCCAAACCACCGAGGCCGTTCATTCCCCTATTGAGGTTTCAGATGAATTGTTGGAAGATGTACCCCGCAACCGTTCTATCACCAAACGCCGCATTTCTCAATATGGCATCACTGACAATTGTAACGGTTGTATCAATGGTACTTATTCCCACACTCCTGAGTGTCGAGCAAGGTTTAACCGTTTGTTGGACAATTCTGAACCCAGGGATTTGGCTTCCGGGGGGGGATCGACGTTGATGTTGCGCATGGGAAACTTCATGATGAACCAATTCAACCAGCGAAAGATCCAAGTAACACTCTTTTGACACCATTGACTATGAAGAAGATGTTCCAGAGTGCCCTCCAAGAACACCTGAAGAGCTGCCAATTGGAAACCCTCATGAAACGGAACTTGATCCCGGTGAGTATACCCCAGGGAGTCTGGCTTCAACCCCCGAATCCTTTTGGGATGACGAAGTTCAAGGGATTGTTGAAGGGGATCTTGCAGAGTTAGTTGCGGGGGGTGTTGGTAAAGCAGTTAAAGATGTTGGCAAGATGGGTTTGCTGATTGAATTCTGCTGCTCGGAGAACAGTGCCTTGTGCAGAGTCGCAGAGCACTTGGGTGTTCCTTACTTTGGGGTAACACGGGAATCTTTAAACATTAATGACAATGATGCGTTCGAACAGTTTTTGTTGTGGCTTCAGGATGAGGTGCGGGTGAGAGAAGGTCCTGTTCATCTTTGGGCATCCTTACCATGTACAAAATGGAGTCCATGGCAAAGAATGGCAATCCATAAACACGGGAAGGAGTATGAACAAAGGTTGGAAGAACAACGGGATATCTCAAGGGATATGGTGTTGAAGTTCAAGCAAGCAGCTGACCTTGTGAAGCGTTCCAGGGGCAGTTCTGCCACTTTTGAATGGAGTCGAGATTCAACAGGTTGGGATGACCCAATTGTTCAACAGACAATGGAAGCCTTAGAGTTGTCTCCTGTCAACGTTGATGGTTGTGCCTAGATTGATGGCAAGTTCCCACAAAGACCATGGTTGATTCAGACGGACAATCCACGACTCGTCAAAGAGCTTAGCACCAAGAAATGCATTCACCCCAAGGGTTTCCATGATCCCCTCGAAGGTTCTTTGACCAACAAATCTGGATTCTACAATGTGACTATGGCTACATGCATTGTTACAACTTTGTTTCCAGGTGTCTATGTAGACCGTGTTCCCGCAATGCCCGTGAGACCATTTTGTTCACATGAACATTGGGATAAGAGCGCATTAGATCCACTTCCACCAGTTTCTGTTTTGGCTACCATTCACAAGCTTTTGACCCGCAAAGAGATGCTGGCCGACCCCCAAGCTGTAGACGCAGTTAGGAATGAGGCTGAGAGCATGCGTGCCATGCAAGTTTGGGATGACGATAGCGTCATGGAAAAGTCAGATAGGATTGGTGAAGCGCGTTCTAGAAACCAGACCATCCATATGGCTGACCTGATGTCAATCTGCAGCATCAAATTTTGGGAAACACCCTCAAAACGCAAACACAAGGGACGCGTAGTGTTCCGCGGAGACAACGTGAGAGATAACTGGGGTTGTGCAGCACAGTTTGGTAATTTGTATTCCACACCGACCAATATACAGGCCATCAATATTGCGATTTATTTCGGCATGTTGACTGGTAATGTAATCAGAGTCGCTGATGCATACAAAGCATACCTGCAAGCTATGCTGCTGGCTGATGCTGACACCTTTGTCACCTTACCCCCAGAACTGTGGAAAGACAGTTGGCGTGGGCGCTACAAGCAGCCCACAGTACGGTTGCTTCGAGCGTTGTACGGGCACCCTCGTGCAGGGGCGTTTTGGGATTTGCACCTTAGGCAGCTGTTGCAGGGGGGGATATGGGTCTGGTTCCTGTTGACGGTCATCCTTCGGTATATTTCCATGCAACTTGGCATTTATTAGTTGTGGTCTATGTGGACGACATCTTAGCCGCTGGTCCCTTGGAGTCCCAAAATCAGTTTTGGGCTGCCCTTCAGACTCAAGTGCAACTGGATGACGTTGAGGAGTTGTCCCAGTTCCTTGGTCCGTTCCATCATCTGGAATCGGGTGACTGCCGCTTGGATGTGATTGACTACTGTAAGGAAGCCGTTAGTTTGTACTTGGATGTAGCTGGGCCAAAAATCAATTTGAGAAAAGTTTCCACCCCATATGTATCCGAAGGGATTTTAAACCAACAGGACTACGAGGTTACAGGTGAAATTGCTATGAAGGCATCAAGTGTACTTATGAAGCTGTTGTGGGTTTGTAGGTTGTGTCGTCCTGATCTCGCCTTTTGCATTTCGATGCTGGCTGGACAGGTAAGCAAATGGAATCGCAATTGCGAAACAATTGTTCAGACTTGTGTCGTACTTGAATTCAACGCTCAACCTTTGCATGCACATCAAAGTATATGATGCCCCTGAAGCTTGTACACTTGACCTGTACGCGGATGCAGACCTGGGAGGATGTCCATACACTGCACGCTCAACCTCAGGACTATTTCTCGTAATCCAGGGTCCGGGGGGTACTTTCGCACCAATCACATGGTACTCACGTAAACAATCTTTGGTGGCTAGGAGCACTGCAGACGCTGAAGCGCATTCACTAGCAGAGGGTATGTTTACTGAGTTACTACCCGCGTTATTGCTTCTCCAGAAATTGTTGGGTGACAGGGCCCCCAAGGCGGTTGCAAGGGAAGACAATTCAGCTGTCGTTCAGGCAGTAATGAAGGGGTATTCTATCAAACTAAGGCATTTGGCCAGAACCCCCAAATTGTCCTTTGCGTCCCTCAACGAAGCATGTACGTCATTGTGTGAACTGGTGCAGACTCCTACCACGGAACAATTGGGCGATATCTTTACGAAGGTTTTGCAACCCAATCAATTTAATGTTGCGTCCTTGGGATTGGAACTTTTCACCCCGAACTAGTATGCAGTAATCAGAATTTGTGGTTTTCATGCTCGTCAAAGACCTCAGCATGCCACTTGGAATCTAGTGCACGAGCCTTAGTCTCCGGCTTGGACCTTAAGCTCCTTGGTTTGTCTTTATGCATAGGTTTTGGGGGTGTCGACATGCGCTTGCGCTGGGCACTCTCTTAGGAACCCTTGGCTTGGAGCTTTGCGATCTACGTGCCCTACTTGCACTACCTCGGCTGCCGCCCTTGCTGAGTCTTGTAGCCTTGGTAGTCGTAGATCCTTGTTTTCACTCTGCTTTTGGCCCAGTTCTCTTCATCTTTTGCTTTTTGCTTGGTCGGCACGCTCAACCCTGGCCGGGGGGGTTGAATGTGCGGCCGTTGTGAATGTTTCGTGATGTCAGTTCTGGGCCACGGAGGTAGTTTCTCCATTGCAGCTGTAACATACTGCGTATTAGGTCCATATGATTCCTTCAACTAGGTTTGATAAACTTGTATCTCGTGCTTTGCTTTGGCTCAAGAAAAAGGGCTCTACTAAGCTGAAACCTTGAAAACTAATAATGTAGGATACAGATTAGTGTGGGGAGGCAAACCCCCCCTTTAACAAATTTTGGATACAGAATAGTGTGGAAAAAACAAGGTACCGGGTACAGAATAGTGTAAAATAAAAAACACATGATACATTTAAATTGATTTCAATTTACTTTCAATTGATTTCAATTTATTTTGAATTGATTTCAATTTACTTTCAATTGATTTGAATTAGATTTAAATTGATTTCAATTTACTTTCAGTTGATTTCAATTTATTTTGAATTGATTTGAAGTTACTTTCAATTGATTTCAATTTACTTTCAATTGATTTGAAGTTACTTTCAATTGATTTGAAGTTACTTTCAATTGATTTCAATTTACTTTCAGTTGATTTCAATTTATTTT